AAAAAATATAGTAGTGTCTGTATTTTATGCTCTTAAAACCAGAGAAGAAGGTTTGTCATTGGATTAATGATAGTATATTTCAAGTTGAATATGTTGTTCTAGCTTAGTCCTGTGTACAGTAGTAGTAGTAGTAGTAGTACAGTACACATGTACTACTGTGGTACAGTAGTTTGCTGAGCTCCTAAACATAGGGTAAACAGTATTGTGTAATGGCTTAGACCTCTACATAGAGGTCTATGGAGAAGTCATGGCCTTTCCGATCAAGCTTGAAGAGCTTTGGAAATTGAGGTAAATCCCAAGAATATATTTGTGAATATAAGTAAAATTCTATTTTTGACATATGATATCAACACACAAAGGCTGGGCTGTGTCTTCATATCAGTGGAGGCTATTAGGTGACAAAGAATATTTGCACACATTTCTCAGATTATTCCAAAAGTCATGCAAGAGAATTTTTAAAAGTTTATTTAAAAATAAAATTGCATTTATACTTAACTAATAAAAACTCCATATATCCAAGCAGGCATGAGGAGATATCTTCTCTGTTATTTCACTATGAAGCAATTTGGAATATATTTTTGTTTAAATCTCAGACAGAGGAAAAGTAGGGAAAATGTGTTGGCAGGAAGCTGCCTCTGCATCTTAGATACATACATTTAAGGTAGCTATCACTGTTTGCTCCTTCTATGTCTGTAGTAGTGTGCTTACTCTTTGTGTGACATCTTTGTCTATTACTGTGAAGTGTGGCTTAAAAAGGGTATGTGAGAAGCAGAAATGGGTAGCATAGATTGCTCTTGATCTGGGAAATTGGTGGCTGCCTAGAACACAAAGAGGAATTTTTTTTTACCATGCCACTTGAGGGACTGCAAAAGACATTCATTTTAAAAGTAGACCAAAGTAATTACCACTACATTTATGTTAGAGGTTAACATTAGCGTTATTTCCTCTATTGCTCAGTTTTACAGAATGTTATGCCCCACTGCTTTTATTAGATCCCAGCAATGGATGAAATAAGTGTTATTAACCTCTAACACTTGAAAAAATTAGTGTTAAGAAAAACAGAAACAAAGTTGGGCAGTTACTTTCTCTGCTAGTTGGGAAACGTGCAGTAAAATTTTGCAAATTTAATAGTTATTTCAAAATGTATCCAAACTAAAAAAACCAAACCAAACAAACAAAAAAACAAATCAAATGAAACAAAGTAAGAACAGAAGTCAGTAAAATGCTTGAAGTTTTTTTTTTTAAGTCACCAAAATTTTACATTAAATTGAACAATAGAATAATTTTACTGAGTGGAAGATGATTACAATTAAAGCAAATCGACTCCAAGTCTTAATTTAAAATGTCAATCAACTATATTTCTTTGACATCATATTTGAGAGTCAGAAACATTTTAAATGCTTTATTTTGTGGTTGCATTTGGGAGCTCAAAGAATGCTAGTTAAAACAACTCTAAGATCCAAGTGCTTAGCATAAGACAAGGAGTGGTTACAGCACTGTCATAAATAAGACATAAAGCGGTCTTATCCTCAGCACAGAATGAGTAAAAGTGCATGTCCTATCATCGTAAGAGAAATCTGAGGAGATGAAATCACAAGAAATATGTTTTGATATACTGGGATGTGAATTCCCAAGGTTGTGTCCTAGGCAGGTCACAAACCTCTTGTATTTATGACCATGGATGCACAGCTCTCTTTATACTCCTCATCTACTGAACATGAATGGTAGTGTTACCATGCTGTTCTGAAGTGAACTGAATTTATAAGAAAGTAGAGAAATTGAAGATTAACATTGTTTGAGTTCAAATGTCTGGTTAAACTCTGCTTTCGTCCATCTGAGTTGAATCTGTACTTAAGTGCTCTTTGAAATACCATTTCTTTCATTATGTTTTTTCATTTCTTAATACAAATATTTGACACAGTGGCATGAGTAACAATGATGAGGAATGAAAATGATTTTGAGGAAAGATAAAGGTATTCTAAGGCAACAAGCTTTGTCAGAAAGAAATACAAGAGAACAGGCGTACCAGAGAATTTTAATTTATTAAACACGTACATGCACACCAAACAACTTCTAATTACTGATGTTTTTGTAAAAGCTGATATATCTGCCGTCACAGCACTCAACAGTTTTGGGAAATTGAAGCAATGATCTCATTGGTCCTTCCTGTTTCTAACTGTACCAAGATAAATATTTTATTCCATATCGGATGTTTTTAAAAGGATTGTAACTAATTGCTAGTGATAAGGATATGTGTTATTACTTGAAACAAAACATCTACAGTAGGAGAAAAAAGAAATGCTTTTAAAGGTGAATTTAAAGGATTCTGTAAGACTCTTGCAGTACAGTTTCCATAGGGAGCTATTATAGTAAAGAGCACTCCCTTGAGATGTGATTTCTATAAACAAATATTACTACCTTTCTTTACTGTTGCTGAAGTTCTGAGTGTAAATATTCCTGCTTTCTAAGCACCTAGAATATTCAGTGACCATACTAATTTACTTTAAGGACATTCTGTTTTTGCTTACTTTGCTAACTATCTCCTCAATTGCTTAATGGAATATTTTAAGCTAATAAATTACCCTTCAACATTTCTGTCTGGAAGCTCAGTCAGTATCCAAAACAAGCTAGTCATTAATGAACACTTCCTTGAACAAAAGAAAGGAAGGCAGCAGATCTGAATTGTAGCCCTTGTTTGGTTCTCTTATTCTAAACACATTAGTACACTGTATTTCCCCACTTATATAGGCTTTTGTATGGTGAGCATGTGACTGTTTAAATGTCCCAGCAGGGCACCAAGGGACTGCAAAGAGGAAAAAAAAAAAAAGAAAAACAAAAAAGAAAAAAGAGAAGAAAGAAAAAGAAAATAAAATTGTTTGGAACAATTTGCATTAGTTCAAGGGCAATGTTAAGCATTTTACAGCTGGTTTATTGCTATTCTTGTGCTGTTTAAGCTGTCTTTCATGTCAAAAGTCCTTTCCTGCTTACAAATCATCAGGAAGAATTGCGGCCACCACGCTGTTCGCCTAAGCTCCTCCAGGGGTTCTGGCCCTTTGATCACAGATATCGTTTGCAATCGAGTTAAAAATAGGGGGCTGCTGAGATAAGCCGAGACTCTGACAGGAGACCAGCTTTCCCTTTTCTTTTGGACTTTGTTCGCCCCTTCCCTAGTATGGGAACACGTAATCTTGGCACAGAAGGAGTAGTATTATGGCTTTGGGAGATATTTGAAGGAGCTAGGGAGGTCGGTAAAGAGCTCAGCCCCTTAACTGTGCAGCCCAGCTTTGCAAGGTTCCTGGGTTCAAAGGCAGGCTTGTAAGCCAGAGCCTCAGTACATAAAATTAACGAATGTAGGCTTGCATCCATCTTTGAGGCAGATTCAACTCAGTGCCAAAACATTAGCTTTTCCCAGCTCTCTTTACTAAGGAGTCTTTCTAAGCCTGAAAATCTCTTCCCCAATAATTCCATTAAAATTGTCAGAGAATTTCATGTGTGTTAAAGCTGATAGAGAATTCTGATTGACACTGGTGGGCATTAGGTGAAGTCTGAAGTAAACGCCTCCGTTGTTGGGGGAAATCTCCAGAACGATGCATATACTTTTCTGCTGTTAGTGGAGAGACAATAAGTTTTGTTTGCTGGTGTCTATGTGCAGTCTGAAGAAGAAAGAAGTGTGCTACAAGTGAGGTTAATAATGTGCCCAAAATATAAATTAACTGCATTTTCATGTCATTGTCATTTGTGATTACACAAACACCTTCTTCTGCAAAAAAATCCAGTTTTGTGATGCAGAGGGAAGACTTCATTTCAAACTGAAAAATTTTGTCCTTAGAAAAATAAAAATCCAAGTAACACAAGATGCAGTCCGTGCAGAGATTGCCCAGGCACCATACAGGCTACCTTTATTAGTATTATTTGTTTAATGGTATCACTTAGGAACCCGGGTCATGAACCAGAGGCCTGTTGGATTAGATGCGAAACCAGTAAAACGAATAATGAAAAACCGGTTTCTGCAGGCCTTTTGTAAGCAGCAGCAGAAGTACAGGGAGAGGCAGACCAGCTGTCACAGCACATCAGCAGCTTATGTTTTTAGCAGTCCCTCATGGTTGGTTCAGAGGGGATTTGAATGTGGATGCAGGGGTAGCTTTACAACCAGTTTTTGCGAGACATGCAGCTCGTATTTCATTTGATAGAGAAGGGGGAGCCAGAAGATACATAGAAAATTGTAACGTTGTTATAGCTAGGATGTTTAAAGGATATCAGAGAGGAAAGATTAGAAGGGAGAAGCAGATTTTATTAGTAGGATAGACTTATTTGGGGGGAAAAACCTCACAAGATCTTAAAAAGCACTTCTGTGCCTTAAAGATTTCTTTTCCTAACATAGCATACCATAAGAGAAAATATAACTACCCATAAAGCTTTTCTTGTTTATAGAGAGAACTTGCATAGCCTATGTGATCATGCTCAACTTTGGCTTCACTTATGCACTGATGAGTGATGTAAGATAGCTTCTTGTTGTCTAGAAAATCACTGGATGTTCTTGCCCCTCCTAATAAATATGGATGGCGGTCATTAACTCTGTGTTTTGTGCTAAGCACAGTCCTGTACTGATCTGACGCTAATGCCATAAGTACAAAATATTTTATGAAATCAGGAAAAGGTGAAGTTGGAGAGGAAATAAATCAGACTTGAATTTTATGTGGAGATTAACTGTTACAGAGCTGTCTTAGTGTCTGCAAGATTAACAGGTCAGAACTTCTAGCACTGAGTTTTACATTTGCGAGCATTTTAGACATATAAATAATACTGGCAGTAAAAAAAATCACTGGAAACTTTGTGAGCAAAAGTTGCTTTTAGTCTTTTCCTTTTTTTAGTAACATTTTTCTTCAGTAACATAAGTTTTTTTATTTTTTTTTTCTGGATACTTTTACTGGTATACGTCTTGAAAGAAAAAGAATCAAATGGCTCATTTTTCTCTGAAAAAGCATATACCTTTTCTCCAAGGTCTTTCAAGTGTTCACTGAAATATAACTATCTATACAATAAAATCAGAACCTTTCTAATATTTTTTCTGAATATCACTGATAACAAGAAATATTGCTGTTATTATCTCGGATTCACTAGTTACTTTGGCCCAGCACATAAGCTCTGCTGTATTTTGTGCGCTCTCTGTCACACTGTAGACTGTTGAAATGTTCCATATCCTCTATAAAGCTCATTTTCTCTACCACTTTTCTTCTTTTAAGTAGATTGACTAATACTGACCACAAAGCCCACCCCATGGTCTCATCAGCATGTGTTGTGAAAAAAAAAATGGAAATCCATAATAATAGCTACTACAAATTGACAGGAGAAAGAAATTCTGTGTTTCCCAACAAAATTCCTGAATGAAAAGGACCAAACGTGCTCTGACATACATACAGACATCTCACTCGGGAAAGGAAATTAATCAGAGTCCTAAGAGCAGAACCAGTGCAACTATCACAAAGGTGAAATAGCAACATTAGGAGGATTAAGATAACTGTTTTTCATAAGCGAAGTACAGTCATGGCCGAAAAAGATATGGCATGGTGAAGTAGGAATCCAGGAGAGGGGTGGCCTGGTTGGCCGTGCGTTTAGCTGAAAAGGAAAAGAAGCAACATGACCATGTGTACATCTCTAAATCTTTGAACTTATACTCTGCTGCTTTCAGAGACAACGGAGAAATGTGGGAACTTCGACTATAGGACAGGGTAGTTGGTGATAAAGTGAATGTGTTGACCTGTTTTCAAGGTCAAGTGAACCACATTTTAAAAATTCCCATCTCTCTTCTTTTATAGCTTTTACAACTTGGCTGTAGATATGGCAATATAGTATCTAGCACTACATGCCCTGAACTTCAGTAACCTACACTAGAGGATTGAGGTCTCACCTCCTTCTGTAGCCGTAACACAAGAAATAGGCTTATGTATAGTTTCCTTCCAGTGGAAAACTAAGGCATCTCCATTTTTTTTCTCTGGTTGTTTCTTCTGAGGAATGGAGAGCCTATTCTTGGCCCAAGGAAAAAGGCAGGCCAGAAGGCTGCCAACTGCCAAGAAATTCTTGCCTCATTGACTGACCCTTTATGGATTGGTATGTGATGTGCAGCACAGCAGCTTGCTTGGAGTCACCATCTCTGGAGGTGTTCAAGAAAAGGGTAGATATCATGCTGAGCGACTTGGTCTAGAGCGGTCACAGGCATAGGTACACGGCTGGACTATGTGATTTTAATGGTCTTTCTAACCTAGATGATTTTGTGGTTGATTCTATGATTACTTAGGAGTGCATTGGCTGACTGAGCAATGGGGACAGGGAACACAGAAAAGGCATGGGAAAGCTTACTTCTGCAAAGCAACAAATATCCTTCTCTTGGGCAGCATTGTGCACTCTGAGCTTGCTTCTGGTATGCCTAGTTTCTGAACAGATTGTTTTTTATTTGGCATAAAACTGAAAGAAAAGTACAGGACTTATTAATATTTCTCCCATGCGGAAAAAGCAAAGCATTTGTTTAACACCATATGTAAAATGTATAATTAATATTCAGAGAAAAAATACTTATTTCTCTTTAATGCAAAACCTAATACAGTAAGTGCTAATAGCTAATATAGTCTATACTGATGATGACAGAATACTTATCAGATTCAATTCTTACATGGTTCATGCTAATTATACTACTTATTTGCTAGTTAGAGATGAGACCTTTCTGCAACTTCTCATAGTGTGTCTATTGCAGTTTGTATTAGGAAGCTACTTAACTGTATGATGTTAAATTGTCATGGTTGCTTATTTTTGAGCCAAATGCTTGCAAAATTACTATGCTTCTGAGACAATATTTGGGAATCTGTTATACCTGCTTCTATACCTACCTTCTGGAGTCCAATATGGGAGACTCTTCATCAGTCAGAAAGCTTAAATACGCCTAGAAAATAAGCTATGTACTGTGTGTGTATTTGGAAGAGTTGATATTTCACATGGCCTTGAATTTAAGACATTCATAATTTTAAACAGAATTATGTGGCTAAGGAAAGTGTAATTTCCAGTGTGGTCCTGTAATTGCTAATGTGTAGGCTTGACCTGCCACATATGTAGACTTTTGAGATCGTAAAAGTAATGTGAGATTTTATGTAGGAAGCCCTCTTTGAGAAGAGATATAAACTCTGTGCTTGAGCCTCAGCATTTAGAACAACAGTGAAAAAAAACACGAGCAGCTTTTTGATAAGACAAGCTTCCCTCCTTCCCTGCTTTTAGAAAGCATTGCTTGAAGTTGTTCTTGCTTGTAACTTAGTGGTTAGAAGCAGTACCTTCCATAAAATGGCTTCTCTAACACAACTGAAAACGCCAATTCCTGAAGTATTGCCTTTTGTATATGCATTTCTTCCCTGTTTTTACTTACTGAGTTTCTAACTTACTGGAAAGTTGCATGTAGTGACATCTGTGGCAGAAATGCCTTTTACATAAGGGATATGTTGCATAAAAGCAACATCCAGAATTGTTTTAAATTTTTTTTCTGATGATCTGTGCCTCAGGAAGGGAAGATAGAGGAGGAACAGAAAAAACCTTTGAAGAGAATGGAAAATCCATTTGCACAGATGTCTGGAAAATGGGTTTCCTCCCAAGCTGTTGTAATACTTTTGAAGAAATCATTATGTTACCTTTTAATCCTCTAGTGCCAGCAGTTGCCTGTGTGACCAGACATTGACAGCAATGCTCTGTGTCTGACAATCTTTCCTCAGTGTCCACATGCTAATTGGATTTGTTCCTGCAGAAAAGCACACTTGGGCACATAAACAGAAGCATTTTTTTCATTTTCACATTTTGACAGAGATTAAGAACCGCAGGTATTAACAGGACCTGTCAAACCATATGGAACACCATTCCTTTTTTTGGCATCGTGTATATCCTGTCCCTATAGAAAGGAAGTACTACTGCAAGAATGTTGGCATCTGCATTGCTTGCTATAGCCTGTGTGCTGAAATAGTGGTATACTCAGACTTATTTCACCTTTTTGCTGCACATTACAAATCAAACATTATTCCAGTATTCTTTGTGCATCTACCTTGATATTCTTTCACTTATATACATGAAAGGTAGAAATCTGCATTCGGTTGCATTACTCTTCCTTACATCAAATATGGTGCTATACACATGCGCACACGGCACATGGTGCTGTATCACACATGAAGTTACAAGCTCTTCTGTCCACAGAATACCTAATTTCCACTCATTAGTTCCATCAACTTCACCATTGTATCCTAGGGAAAAGAAACTGCAATCAGCTGCCGGTAAAAGAAACTCTTCTTATGTTGGCTGATGCCTTGTTCCATTTTAGTGGCACTGCTGGGTGCACACAGAATAGTTCTGTGGTTTTAACTGCATTTTCTTATGTTAAGCTTTTCTTATTTATTAGAGTGATAGATTATCTCATGCTCTAAATACTGCTATCAGTTGTTGACAGCCAGGCCTCCATCCTATTAGTCAAGTAGATAGTTGAGCTATCATTACAAATATAGAGGTAATACTGTGTAGTCAGAATGATGCCCATGTAAACAATACTGCCTTTGTACTCAATACTGAGGCACAAAGCTATGCCACTCCTTCAGTAACAAGGCTCTGCTTTAATTGCTAGCAAAATCTGGAAAAGTTCTTGTTAAGGATGTCTCTTCATATAAAACACTTTATTGGGCACCCTTGGGTAGGAAGTGGTGAGCCAGACTGATTGCTTAAGCCTCAGACACTGAAATTGTAATTGTGTGCATTGGTGACCCTGGGATTTGAATTAGAGAAAAAAAATCTGTTTTTAAGATCATATTGCTGTTAAGATTTTTTTAAAGGAGGCTATATTCCAGTTGTGAGGATGCCCCCCTTTCTTCCCCCTTTCTTCCCGCTTTCTTCTTTTTGTACAATTCCTTTGCAAGAGTGATGCAGATGTTATCTGAGCCTTGTTTACTCTGCCACAGACAAAGATGATATGCCCAAAGTCAGCTAAGTAACCTCTCAAAGCCACTTAAACCTGCTCACTTAAGCCGTGAGCAGACACATGATAATTGGCTTTCTCCTGGTAGTAAGTAGAGCTATGTTAAATGTGGGCCTGAGGGGAACCTCTGTTTTGGGTTGTAGTTTATTATAAGGTGAGGAAATTACTGGACACCTCCAGCTGCCATTAATCAGCCGTGGAGCCTGACTGGAGCCAAGCGAGAGGCCTGTGGGTGGATGCCGCTGAATGGCAGGGAAATACAACGAGACAGAGACAAATGTTTTCCAGCCTAGCAGCACTAAACTCTGCCCTTTCACAGTCCTTAACATGCATGTTCAAATTGATTTAGTCTGTTTACCCCCTCAGCCTAACCATCTATTTCCATCCAAGACTGACAGGTTTATGTGTTGCTACCATGTTATTATGTGTGGCTGTGCAGCCAGTAGCTATAGTGTTTCAGAAGGGCTCACTTCCAGACATAAAGAAGAGGGAGGCGGGGAGCTTCAGTCACTTAATTCCCTTTTACAGGGTGCAAAACATGTTGAGCATGACACCAATTCTCTCTCTCTTTCTTTCCTTCCTTCCTTTCTCCCCCTGTCCCTCCCCCTTTTATTTATTTATTCATTTATTTATTGATTTTGGGTCAGCACACACCATGAAAAAGCCTTAAATAAACTTGCATGCTTGAGAAGCACATCTGTCAGGTGATGTAAGTGTCTGGCATGCTTCCCTTCCTGTTTAGCTTACAAACATGCTGTTCAGTTCCTCCATGGCTCTGCTGTGCTGGCGGAGGCTGCTGGCAGAGGTTCAGCAGGAAGGAGCGCAGGTAGCAGTGCCCTGAGATGCTCTGCACTCTTGGCTCCTGCCCCACTGCCCAACTGGAAGCTCAGCCTGCTGGGGTGCCAGCAGTACAGAACTCATTCTTTGTGAGCCTTCAAAACATGGGAATGTGGGGAATTAATGGGAAGCATTGTTGGGTTATTTTGCATTTTTTGAGGAAGAAAGCATCAGCTCACTATCTGAAATTCTAATTTCAGAGAGTTTGACTCCCCTAGCCCTTCCCGTGACTTGCACCACATTTTGGGAGCTGGAGGTCTCAGCATGATAAAAGTATAGAGGGAGGGACAGGATGTGGCTCGTTTTATCCACAGATGGCTTAGGTTGGAAGGGACCTTAAAGATCATCTTGTTCAGAACACTTGCTGTTGGCAGGTTGCCGCCCACCCGATCAGGTTGCCCAGGGCCCTATTCAACATGGCCTTGAATGTCTGCAGGAATGGGACATCCACAACCACTCCAGACAGCCTGTGTCAGTGTCTCACTGCCCTCTGAGTAAAAAATCTCTTCCTAACATCTAACCTCCATCTCCCTTCTTTTAGATTAAAGCCCTTCCTCATTGTCCTGTCTTCTGACTTCGTAAAAGTCTGTCTCCCTAATGCTTGTAAACTCCCTTTAAGTATTGGAAATCCGTGATGAGGTCTTCTCTGAACACTTTCTTCTCCAAGCTAAACAAGCCAAAATCCCTCAACTTTTTTTTTCTCTGATCATCTTTGTAGCCCTCTTTTGAACCCATCCTACCAGCTTCACATCCTTCTTGTGCTGGGGGCCCCAGAACTGGACACAGTACTCCAGATGGGGCCTTACAAGGGGCCCTTACAGAATGATCTTTATTTTGCCAACTTCCTGATTGGCTCAAACGCAGAAAGCTAAGCAAGACCCAAAGAGAAAGATGTGGCAGACAGGCAGGGAATTTTGAGAATCCCAACGATTACGTTTGCCCTCTGGGGATCACTTGCATCTGCCTTATGAATTCCAAGTTCAGAGTTTTAGGGTGCTCAGCTGGTTTTCTCTTCTAGTTTTGAAGGGTTATTTTTGCTCCTTTTCTGATCTCTTTTCTTCCAGAACAGCCTATACCCAAATTAACAATCAATTGTATAATTTTAAGAATCACAGGATCATTAAAGTTGTAAAAGACCTCCAAGATCATCTAGTCCAACCATCCACCTGCCACCAATATTGCCCACTAAACTGTGTCTCTCAGTGCCATACCTCCATGCTTCTTGAGCATCTCCTGGAGCAGTGACTCTACCAACTCTCTTGGCATCCTCTTCAAGTGCATCACCACCCTTTCTGAGAAGAAATTTTTCCTAATATCCAACCTGACATGTCTCCCCTCAGCCCCCATGCAATTTAAGGCCATTACCTCTTGTCCTGTTGAGAGCCTAAGGTAACGCCTCTTTCCATCTTTTTTGGATATGCACATACGTAAAATATGTGATAACTCAGAGCAATTGCATCAAAGTTACCCTGCAATTGTAGCATCTTCTGGCAGAAGGCTGCCAGTCAATGAAGATGTTTTGGTTTCCCTTTACTTTGTCCAACTTCATAACTTTGTTATGATTCTGTTGAGTCATAACAAGTTTAGAAACTGAAAATGAAGGCAAAAAGTACTTCACATAATCAAAATGCTGATTTCTGAGCTGTTACTGATATATGTACATCATCCTGCATGCCAGCGTACAGGCTGGCAGATCCCCTGCATTCTGTTTCACACTGAAACAATCTGCAGAAATGCTGCAGTATCTTCAGGACAGTTGTCAAGTTTTAAATAATTTAGCAACCTAGTGCAATAAACAGAACAATTGTAATCCACAGTGCTGCATGTCCCTTGTGGTAGTCCTGTCTCTGTTGGAGAGAAAAGATGTGTTAGAACATCCTAGAAAACAGCTTTCACAAGCAGGTGATCTTGCCTGACATGGTCTTGGACACTTTTTAGGGGTAATTTTCACCTAGAGAGACTGTACTGACATTCATATAAAATTCACACTGGGTAATGTCATTGTACTCTCTAAATGAACATTATAAAGAGCTAAAAATAAAGTAATGTCCTTACAAAATAAAAACATTGTCTTTTTAAAATGGTAACTGCTGAGTTCATATTAATCCTATTAAAAAGAATGAATATCTTATAACAGCATTGACATCATTTCATAACAGCTGATATGATATGGATGTACTCCTACAAGACTTTCTCACTAAAAAAGGTCTCCTTTTTAATATAAATAGTACTTTGTTTCAGCATTTTGCACTAGGAAAGCTAATCATGTGACTAATTCACCCTAAACCTTGCATTTTCAATAGTAAATCAGTTTTTTTTTTTTTTAATTTTAATTACTGTATTTATATTACTACATAATTAAGGCATTGAAATCAAATTGAAAATATTGTCCTTTTTTGAGGGTGGCAGAGAAGGAAGGGCAGGTGCTGACAAGAAAGGTACTGTGGCAAAAAACAAACAAACAAAACAAACAAAAAAAAACCTATTTTGATGGGAACTGATATTTTCCAAACCATGTTTGTCTACTTTTCTCAAAATGACATTTTTTAATCTGTTCACCATTCTCTGTTCACCACTTCCATTTGTGAAGAACCCCTCTTCTAAAGTGGCTTTTCCCAAATATTCCTTGCTTGTACTCATATTCTATCTGTGGATGACATGATCACTGTTTACAACACCTGGCTGTGAAGTTCTGGAGAAAAATATTTAGTAAGAGGGTGATGTGGTCTATGAAAGCCACTGTCAAGTCTCTAATGCCATAAACACTGATGAGTAAGTCAGGAAGAGCTTAGAGGTCAGAGTGTTGTTAGTTTCTGTCCTAGCAGAGAAACCTCTGCTTTTGCAAAACCAGCTCTTTGTGGCTAGCTCTGAAAATTCTCAGTCATTCCCCACCTTCTTAATGGCCAGTTTAGTGAGGCTTTTTGTGTGCCAGTACAGTCATCAGCTCTTAGTCCTTCCTCAGGTTGCACAGACACAGTGACCAGTCCCTTCCTGGATCCCTTGGGTGTTTCAAATTAGTGGGCTCTATTTTCTGATTTTTCCCTGGCTGCCCTTTGCAGCTTCCACTTACTGGTTAGTCTTGTCTCCAACATGGCTGCATTCTCCAAAATCCACAAGAGATGTCCTTGAGTTTTACCTCTGCTCTAATGTTGTATTTTCATATGTCAGTGTAAAAAAAAAAAAAAAAAAATTAGAAGTCAGACTTCATTTTCTGATTTTCAGATTGTTAACGTTATGAGATCCAAAACTCAAAAGCTTATATTTAAGTCCATTCATCTTTCCATTGACACCTGCATTAAAAAAAAAAAACAAAACAAAACAAAAAAAAAAAACCCAAAAACCTTAAGAAAGTCCAATAATGAGGAAGAAGTTAAAAATAAAATAATACACTTCTACTGAGATTTTTGGTAGTTTGTGCTAGAGTCTTGATTAGAAAAGCAGGAAAAGGGAAAACAAAATCTCAGCATTTGTGAAATATTTTCAGTCTTATATTTAAAATCAGAAAGGCAAACTGTATGAGTCTGTTGATGAGTAATTTCTATTGAATGGTCTGTTTTCATGCTTTATATGTCTTGGGAGCTTCTGTGATTTCAAGGAAATCCATCTTCAATGATGTGCCAGTCTTTAATAGCGAGACGACAGCTGTATATTTAATTCATGTTGGATACTTGAACATAAACAAAGTATGTTCAAAAAAAAAGAAAAATTTGGAGCTATTGGCATCATCCAAATCTTATCTGTAGTAAAAATAATTGCCAATTTATTTATTTATTTAATAGGGTAAAGTTTCCATTATTCTGTCAATCTTATGACATAAAGGAATCCTTGCCATTTTGTTATTTAACTGTTTTCCAAATACTTGATGAGGAAGTGGGATGAGTAACCGGGTTGGGGAGCTATGAGTGAGCTGAGTTAAAAATGGAGGGGCAGTAAGTGTATGAATAATTGCATGAATGCCACTATTGATGTTTCACTTTAGGCTCTTATTATTTCTCATTGAGTGAAGCCTTTGTGGAGTCACTGTACATCCCTGCCGTATAAGAAGTAGAATGATTGTCAGGAGTCCTGTGCGGTGTCTTTGATTCTACTGAAGAATTTTTTGGATGAATCAAATATTGTGCAGAATTACCCTGAGACTTAATATTTATAACAAAATTAGTTTGTCATCTTATGTTTGCTGGTGACTGTTCTTTGTCTGGATATTATACTGCTGACTGCATCCCTTTGAGCCCAGCAGCTCAGCCAGGTTTCCATCCACCTAGCTGTGTCCATCTGTCTGGGCTGCGCTTTACCTGTTTGCCAATGAGGATGTTGTTAGAGACAGTGAGTTTGACTTCCCATATTGTGTTTCACTGATTTAAGCAAGAGCAGCAGGCAGTGAAATAGGCCTCTCTCAATTTTCATTATTAAAGGATTTACAGATATATTTTTGAACATACATCTATGTTAAATTTAAGCAATTGGCTTCAATTGATCTTGAATTGATATACACTGCATATGCAATTCTTTATGAATTGAGTCTTGTTTCATAGGGAACAAAAATTAAAAAAAAAAAAAAGGAAAAATATATAAAGAAATACGCTTTTCAAAATGGTATGCCTGTCTGCAGAAATGTATAAAATGGTGCTGTGCTATTTGAAGATATACAGTATTTTTTTGTTTTCCATTTGAAAGAATATTATAATGCTTAAAATCCCAAATTTGGATCTACAAAACCTTAACTGTGTACTGAGGTTTGAGCATGTGACTTGAAGTGACAGTTCTATAGAGCAGTTTCATCACATTTCATTTAAAAACAGCCTTTTCTGAAGGAGCAAAGCAAAGCTTAGTAACTCCAACGTTTTCCAGCATAGCAAAAAATACACGACAATGGAAAATCCAATAGTTATCAGCCTACTTATATATTCTCAGTGCTCAGGAAATGTAATGAAGATCTTTCCTCTTCCTGGCTTCAGCTTGTTCCTGTAAACACAAAGGCAACTGAATGCTATAATGTAAGAAATAATTATTTGTGTAATGTAAATCTAATTTTTTTTTTATTTACCTCTGAAATTGCCTTGGTTGCTACAGAATGTTTTAAAATTCACCTAGTGAATTTTAAATAGCTGGCCAAAACATCCCATTGATTCAGCTGTTTCTCCTTCTGGAGATACTTAAATAATATCTTGAGGGTGTTTCTTCCTAATGAGGTAATAATATCCGTATCCTGGGCTAAATAAACTTGAGGCCAAAGGCCTAGGTGTTTATTAGCAGAGGATGTGGTTATTAACAAATTTAACAGGAAGCACCCTTCAGTTATTATTTTACTGACATTTCTAATGATTATGCATTTGAGAAATAATTGGCTGAAAAGTAATACTTACATTTAATAGAGTAAGTGAAGAAGAAGATGCTTCATAAAAACTTTCTTTGTCATGAGCCAGTGTTTCACTCTGGTATCTTCTGAAATGGATGATGGTACCAGAAGTGGGAAGACCAGCATGCTTTCAACTATTCCTCCCTTGGACACTTCAGGCCAGCATATCACTTCTCTTAATGCAAGAATGCCAATGACAATTATGGTTTTTGGTTCAAAGCCAGTTAGACCATGCATCCTTTTAAGAGGCTATTTGTCAACAACAACACATGGATTTGCTGTTTGCATGTTTTTAGCTTTAATCAGTGCCAATTGGCATTCTAACCCTCTTTAGAAAGAGAGCTTTCACCCCAACCCCAGAGGAGCAATAATAGTGAGATTAGCACTTAAACCAGTACTCATCTCTGGATCTAAATTGATTCTGCTGAGATGGACAGAAGAATTGAAACAAAGGGAACTTAAATAGCATGCCAAATTTCTGTCATAAGTAAACACTAGTTTGAAGATGACTCTGGACTCAGTCTGGTGTTCCTTCCTTCATCTTCTAATACCTCTGTCCTGCAAGTATTTGTTCTGCATGAAATAGACTCAGAGGCCTTGGTTCCACTTACCAGGCATCTACCATTGTGGACAGAGTTTTCTTTACAACGCTTTTCATTCATTTTGTATAATACAAGCACTGGTAGGGTGCATGCTACTCACCATCTCGAAGCTGAATGCGCAGGTAACATATTTGCTAGATTGGAGTCTAAGAGACATCAGGTTAGTTGGCTCACCTGAGATCAATAGCCATGTAGAATCCTATCAGCTTCTCATTATAGCTACAAAGCAGAAACTCGTTGGATATATACATGTAAAAAGAAGATGATTTGGTGAACTAATGTCTCTTCTGTATGGAGTTTAGGGTAGAAAATGTAGCAAACTCACACCTGAGATCCAAAATTTTGCCAGACTCGATACCCTTCATTAAAAATATGGCAGTGACCAATTGCCCCGCTTAAGCTGAATATAGGATGCTAAGTTCCTCATGTTAGAACAAAAGCAAAAATACAACAGTTATGATTTGACTACAGTTAACAGATGTTCTAATTGCACATCTGTGAGAAATTGATATTTCCTAGTTCCACTGTAGTTTGACCTCTGTACCTAGGGAAGTTTTAGTCCCATAGGATTTAAATGATTTATTGATCTGGATGCCATGAATATTGCAGAAACAAGTTGTATTTCTTAGAAGCTAAATACACCTTCATTCTGTGTAGCACTAACTCATGTTTGAAAGAAATACACACTGCTTTAATCAGAGCAGAGGCATCAGTTCACTG